GGAAGTCAAAATATTCACGTGTACGCATTTATGGCGCGAGGAGGCAAAAGCCTGGGGAATACGCTAGCCCCGGAGGAGCTGGGGAAGCACAGGGTGACGGGTGTCAATTAAGCTCAAACGCCATCGATGAGTGGAATCAAAGGCCGGAGAACTCTAGCGGCTAGCGTGAAGGCTTGTCCCCAGGACAGACTTGGCTAGACAGACGATATGGTGCGAGTACGAGGTAGATATGACACTAGCGCACCGACACTGTGGCACTCACATTGCGCCAATTGGTGTAATTAGATTGCAATACCATACATTGCTATCTCTCTCTATCTTATCCTTTAAAGGAGCAATTCTTGCTTATATATATAACCTCCGTCGGTAATCGGGCGGCCCCGAAGCAGAAGGCCGTGGTTCGTGTCACGATCATTTACACACTTTTTTAACTTTTTTTTCGATTCCAGATCATTGCTTTCTTTATTTTTTAGTTTTTGTCGATCTAGACGATTTTGTTCTTTTTTCCCTTTTTTTAAAAGTTTTTTCTTTTGTGAATAACACCAGTTCATATTTTCTTACGTCGGTGTTATGCCTATTTCATTACTCAGTAATTTGTGTCTAAGTGTAATTTCCAAAATACACGATTTACCATTATAAGGTAAAGGGGAACAATTTTTAAACGCCGCGAAGTATGGACATGCGTTATCTCTATTAAAACATCATCTATTGCGCCACGCAGGTCCTCTCGGGACATAGTTTTTTTGGAAGTATATGTTCGGAGATCGCGTAGCGGAGAAGAAGCTCATAGCGGATATATACGTGAGTGCCCAAAAACACGGCTCAACACGCGCTGGAGGAGTGCCCAGTCTGGACGGGGCAGCGACGAGAGTTGTGCGCTATCGTGGAGTGCGACTTCAAACTGTCTGTCTTCTTGCTGTTCTGGCATACTATACCCGGAAGGGGGCCACGGAGACACTTCAGGGAGGCAACTGCAACACAGGGTTAAAACAACTGTTTATAATAAAGAAAATACTTCCATATTTCATAATCTAAAATAATTATCTGCAGTCATCAATCCAAAAGAACTTTCATCGCCAGCTGTTCTTTTAATGAAAAATAAAGTTGGTAACACACTCAATCGATTTTTCCGATGTTATCAAAGATCGAGAAAGTAGCAAAAAGATAGAAAACTAATATTTAGATAATACTGTAACTGGACTATGTTATTATTATTTTATGTTAATCTTATGAGGAATACATAAATGTGAAGCATTTAAATGGGCCTAAATGAGCCCGCAAAATTTTTTCAACCCAGTCCCCCTAAAGGTCTACCAGCCCAACACACATGGGTAGTCCCGCCCGGGGAAAGCCCACAGTGTCAAAGAAGACTGAAGAGAAATATAAAAAATTGCATATTACATAACAGGGTGTCGGATATAACCGGGCCCACTCTGTACAAAGTTGGGAAAGCAACAACAACTCTACAGGTTCTGCAGATGTCCGCAAGCATTATGCGAAGTTAAAAAAAATATAAGTTGAAACCACTTTACGGTCTATAAATTCATCGCCACGCCCCTAATTCATCGTTTGTGTAAAACATTTAATCCAAAAAATTATTTTTGAGCGAAGTAGTAGAAAAATTAAGACGTGGTTGTAGGGATGATACAATCATTGCTAGAATCGCCCTTTTTGAGAAAAATAAATAAATAAAAGAATTATTAAATTACCACTGATCTATAAATGTCTAATTTGAATTAAAACCTTAAATTTTAATATGACGTCATTAGTTACAAAGTAATTATTGAGAATAATAATGCACTGGCGGATTGTCCGCTTTATTGATGTTTTAAATTGTGAAACATCTATTTCGATATATTGTAAAGGCCGAAAAATGTTGTCATCCTCTTGTAATGGAGGTCGAACAATATTATACTGTACGCGGTGCGATAATGTTTTAATATTTATATTTTCATACATGTGATATTTATAAGATATGTTAACAAAGTTATCCGTGGATACATGTATATTCCTATTAATATATGTTAATGCAGGTAAAATAGTGTAATTTTGTTAAGTATTCGTGTAATTAAATAAAAGCAATCATGGGTACAAGGGCAATTTACATGAACTACGGTATAGTTTATACACACAACATGTGTCTATAAAACGTATTAGGTACGTATATTTTACACGTGTAGTAACAAACGATTACGATAAATAAGCTTTTCGCTTACAAATATTTGCCCCGGGTCGATCCGTTCAACAATACTCAAAGTTGCTACGATTCTCGACCACCATTAAATACGATCAGATCTTATGTTAGGCAGCGCAGCATTCACGGGGATATCAGACCTTCTGTAAGACCTCTTTATCAAAACCCTAATATCGTAGAGGAAGATTACTCCTACGATATACTCTGGCTATTCGCAATGCGAGTATTAATTCAAGAATTTTTACAGAGTCGCATCCGTGAATGGAGGATCACATAGAAATCGTCTGTACGACAGTCGGATCTTTAGCACTATTCGATATTGCCGCTACTGAAGGGCTGAAGACGGAATATTTCTAGCCGAATATGAAAATTATTTCTTCTTGCCACACTTCTTTACTGGAATAGATCTTCATCGGACAATAGCTAGCAAATAAAACCGAATGATTGTGAATTAAAGAACTTCTTTCAAAATATAATGCAAGATTTGCACAGATGTCGGTAGCACCGCTTAGGACCATTAAGTCAGCCTGAGCTATCATGTACATAAACATAAACATTTTTCAATCAGTTTTTTGTACAGCCTAAAAACAAAGCCGCCACCCAGAATTAAATATTGTATGTACCCTGATTACCGCCAGTCTTAGATTAAGCAACATTGCGCGGACAAGGTTCTCGTTGGAAACTAATTTCCATTTTCTTCCCATTAGGCTTTTAGTGATACAATGAATGAATAAGGTGTCACCTTAATTATTGCAACACAATGTCGAATATGTGTCAGAAGTGTAAATAAAATCTAAAGGTTTCTGATTCCTGAGATACAGGTTTAATTCCTAGTTCAAGATTCAGGATGATTCATGACCGTAATTTTATTAATAAAGTTATTATTATTATTAAAATAGAAACAATTAAAATGATAGTGCTTTTAGTGATTGACGATTAAAATTTTAAAATATTTTGATAGAAACGAATAGAAAGTATGTAACAGACTTCACACATGGTCTTTATATTATCATTACGGGATATTAGTTTTTCTTCTCGACTTGTGGGTTTGTAAATAAAGTTTACATACATATAATGCAGTATGGTAAATATAATACACATATATTTAATAGATAGCAAAAAGTAAGCTAACCTATTTCGGTCATTTTGTAGTCCACGAGCCCGTATTTCAGAATGAGCTACAGATCTGAGAGTCTCCTCTACTAGGTTCTGTCGAAGCAGATACTCAGAGTTATAAAGCATACGACAAATGGAAGTAACATGCCAAATTTACTCCCGTTATCGTAATGGTGCCATCCTTTACAATGTATATCCGGTAGTTTTTCGGTTAATAACTTGATCTTTTATCGCACAGACAAAACCCTCGGTGCCTCAAAGAGAACTCTACGTTTTAAACGAAACTTAGAGAGAGACAACAGAGAGTCAGAGAGAACAACAGTATCTATGAAAGGCTCACTCAGAGCCTTGTAGAATCTCCCATGGAATTCTTTCTTCTTCCTCAGTATCCTGCGGCCGGGAACGCTCTGTACTCCCGAATCCTGTCAGTCCTGTGTAATAAATTTTGTTTACAATTTCCGTTATACTGTAACTGGTAACCTGATTTAATTTTTGTCAACCTATTAACCCACATAGTCGAATTTTACTAATGAGGAGTTAATGAATGAAGCATTTAACTCTGATACTGGAAAAATCGTTAAACCCACAGGATGGTTATGAATAACAATGAATTTTAGATATATATGCACATTTATGCTATTTGATTATAGTTTTTGAGCATGTGAAAATACGGAAAGAGGGTTTCTACGAACGAATATTGAACATTTTCTGCTGCTTTTCCCTTACTTATGTGAAGATACATACATACCTAACGATTGTATTAATTGCTATTGTATATTAATCAAATATTATTCATACATTTTGTCTTTTGGTAATTTGTTATCCTTTATACCAAAAAAAGAGTTCAGACATTAAATATTAAAACATGTGTAATCTATAATTCTATGACATCTTCGAAGAAAAGAAATATGTAGTCAAAAAATATGAAATCTATGCTTCTGCGTTAAAATTAGTTGACTTTATTTAACTTTACTCGCTTTTTGACTGTAAAACCGTAAGTAATTAATGAAATGAACTCAGATGGTCCATCTTTCTGTTTTTGTTAATTAATTACTTAATTTGTATTGTATCCTTGACTTTATATTTTAACTACAGCAGAGCATGCTTACATTACGTATCAGGTCGCACCTTGAATGTAGTTGAACTTGTTAATCTTAAAAGGAATATAACTTTATATTACTTATTTGTAGACAATTTACTAAACAGCGATAAGATGCTCGCATTTACGATACCGGTGGTAATTTACTTTAAAACCTCTTTGTGTGTTGTTGTCCCGCAAACGAGTTATTGTAATCAATACGTGTTGCAATATTGTGTTCCTCCAACCGAATTAAGGGGCGTGATGAATAAAAAACTTGTATAGTTTTGCCGACAATTCGCATTTTGTTTCTAAAATCGCGCGCGGTGTGCGTTTAGAAATGTTTTAATAGAAGGAGTATTTTTCATTTTCCCGAATGTGTGCACCAGTGTGAACCAGTGTTGTTTACTTGTAGCGCAATCATAGAAACGTTATACAACCATATACTAAATATATTTTTTTTTAATTCAGATTTTCATTAAAAATTAAATATATATAATTATTTTAAAAATAAATAAAAGCGAACGGTATGTCATCGTTCGGCATTTTGAATGGATTAGTGAGTGATTTCCTCGGGTTTGTCCAGTCGAGTAGTTATCTGCCGTGGGTGAGATGGTTGTTACAATTAATGGCATTGGCTCAGGCAATTCTTCCGGCTGGGTGGCCGGAATCTTATCAGTTACACGGTAAGTTTTGTTCTTTTGAGTTACGCAGGTATCCCCTTCTTTTGCAAGTGGACAATATCATATATAAATTGTCTTTATATTTGAAGTTAACATACATAATATGATAGACGTTTCTAAAGACGGGCACAATAAAAACTGGAAAGGAACTTTTTATTAATTTTAATTAATTTTATTTTTATTCCTATTCTATTAATTGTATGAAAGAGAAATGTTAATAGATACCGTTGACAAAAATATAATTATTATCTATATTTATCAACTACAGCACGCTGTTGGTATAGTTTAGTTCAATATAAATTATTAATTGTTAGAGTAATTTTCAAGTATGCAGGAATAATATTTTTTGTTAAAGATTCAAAAAATAGGTTTAAAATTTCATTACTATATTATTTTTATTCTGTAGTACTAGGTACAGGTATCAATGGACAGATCAAGGTCAAATTCCATATCTTCTTTAAATCATCAAACGCTTATTTTAATTCCCGTAATACTACTGGTACTGTCGTTGCTAATGCCCGGTTATTATATTCAACGAACGGCTGTTAGTTACATAGCTTCGTAACTTTAATAACGACTTGTAGATTAAAGGAACGCTAGTAACTCACTTTCCGTAGGTAATGCAACGGCTCGTAAGGAAAACGCTTCGTTCTGTTAATATAGGAACCGGGCGTACACGCCTTTTATCTACAAGTCGTTATGCAAGTTACGAAGCTATGTAACTAACCGCCGTTCGTTGAATATAGGAACCGGGCATAAATTACCTGAAATATTAGTTTTCACCAACTCTTGTATTGGAAAATTATAATTTTTAACAAAAAAAAACCGACTTTAATCAGAAAATTAAAAAAAACATTGTTAATACCATTCAATGATGGCCCTCGATTTCTCTGGGATGCCATCATCAGATCCGGGTTTCCTTATCATGGTATCACCATTGGGATATCTCTTTTCCGACAAAAAAGAGTCATCAAAATCGGTTCATAAACGACGAAGTTATCCGCGAACACAACTAAAAAAAAAATAAAAATATGTAAGGTCGAATTGAGAAAGCTCCTTCTTTTTTGAAGTCGGTTAAAATAGCAACTATCCCTTGGTGACATTTATATCATGGTCCTAACAAATTTTAGATGGTGACAGGTTCGATTTCGTGGTGGTAGGTGCCGGGAGTGCTGGTGCTATAGTGGCAGCGCGCCTAAGCGAGGTGCCACACTTAAGGGTCTTACTGTTGGAAGCAGGAGGTGACCCGCCTCCCGCTAGTGTGGTAAGATCACTAACAGTCACTTAGAGGTTGCCATTGGATAAATTGTGTATCTTTTTTCGTCGTTTATACATGGCACGCGTTAGGATAATTTTGTTAATTTTGTTAAATGACAGTTGATATTTGCCCTAATCTTTATAAGGAAAAAACTGTAAAGAGAAAGGGCCCATATACAGGGAGATTTTTTTAAAGGTGCCCAAATTTACACAGGAGGTTCAGACTCGGTAGTATATTCGTTTATTGAAATAAAAACAATCTTTTTTATAACAAAAAATTACCATTCCATTCCCTAAAAAACAGAACTTGTTGACAACGCGGTAGTCATTCATAAATACCTAAATTTTTCTGTTCACGCACACAAACGAACTTGTTGTGTGTTAGTTATGAATGATCGCGCGTAAAATAAATGAGTTGCGTATAAATCACGCACTTTTTGAAATAAGTTCTAATTAATGTAATTAAGTACTTACGAGTGATTTAAAATATTTATCATTTTTTGTATAACATTATTTATGTCTAGAATTTAATAAAAATAAATGGATGCACTTAGAAAGGCCCCCTGTGTATTAAAACATTAGTAGCATTTGTGGAGTGTTGTCGTGCTGTGCTGTTAGAGGGTCTTTGCCAAAGTCCTTACTAGTAAAAGGCTCCAACAGAAATATACGATTAACTTTATAAGAGGTGGTGGGGAAACTCTCGACCGAAGACACTCGGTGTTCTTTGTGACTGAAGAACGTCACAACCTTTGGTCGTATAAAAAAATGTAGCCGTCGGTTACAAGCAACGCGATAACCGCAGTTTTAATGTCGTAACGGGCGTTGGTCAGTGGCACAAGTCGTTTGGTCAGTTTCGCATGAAGTCTATGCACGCGACTCACTACAATCATACCACTAAAGGCGGTTATTGGCACCAATGTATGTTTTTTAGCAGAGCCTGAAACCAAACAAGTGTTTAGCTCATTTGGATAGAGTCTGGAGCCGTTACCCGGTCGACATAGATTAGAATCACCAGCGCTGAAAATTAACAACTTATCAACAGGCAAAATCACGTTTCAGTATCACTCAAGAAGTGCAATGGTTATTACGCTAAGAAAAATAATTAACGACTTATTAATTTTCCTGAAGACTTCACACAAAAACTATGTGATAAAAAGTTTAACACGATTTTGAACTTTTAATATGGTTTTATTCGAGGTATTCGTATGTCAAAACGACTCTACGAAGAACAACCTCGCAATTGATTGTTTTGTGGACATTTTTACAGAACTTTACCTAGTAAACTAAGCAAAACTAAGCAAAGCTTGTGCTATGGGTACTAGTTTACTAGATAAACATAATTTTTTAATATAAATACATATTATAGATATATAAACACCCACTAGAAAAACACTATGTTCATCACAGTATATTTTTCTAGTAGTGGGGATCGAACCCACACCCGTGGCGCAAGTGACAGGGTCGCTATAAACTACGTCAATTGGATATTTGAAATTAAAAATTTTAATAGTTCTAATCTTTGCACTTACATGTAACATTGAAATATTTGTAGTGATAATGGACGAAAAGTTTCTCGCCGCTTCGAGACTCGAACCCACGTCTTCCGGTTTTCGTCCAGACGAATCACTAAGCTAAACGGCTGATTGCCTCACCGCCGCAAAATCTCAACGTTACTTAACTACATTGTAGTTTCGCATTTTAACGATGCTTGGTGCATCTATTGTTATATCCTTTGCTATAAAGGGTGTAACTTGGGTTCGATTCCCGCACCGGTGAAAAACTTTCTTGCTTCTTCTTACAAAAACTTTTCGTGTTTTTTTTTATTTAACTGCTTGTTGATCGTCACAAAACAAATATTAATTTTCACACTCAGTTTATCGTTCCATTACTTATCTTCTTTTTTATTACCGACCTATTTTATTCACATTTATAATCGGCCTATTTTTATTTCAGGCTCCGAGCTTGTTCGGGACTCTCGCCCATACGCAATATGATTGGGACTATCGGGCGAAGCTCGACAAAAACACCGGCTCTGTCCACCCCGATGGAGTCATCTTCATGACCCGTGGCAAAATGCTCGGCGGGACGTCAGCTAACAACTACGAAATGTACGCTAGAGGAACGCGCAAAGATTACGACGAATGGGCACAAGTTGCGCCTGGTTGGGATTGGGATTCCGTTCTACCCTACTTTAAGAAGTTCGAAGGAATGAAAGACCCGACAGTCATGGATAATCGGAACCACTCTTACCTGCATTCGGCAGACGGTCCCGTGGCGATATCTAGACCGGAAACTAATAGTTACTTTAGTGAAGTGAACGAGATCGTCCTTAATTCGTACGAGGAGATGGGAATTAAGCGAATCCTGGAGCTGAATGGGCCAGAGTCGTTCGGGGCGACTCGACCGCATTTCACCTTTGCCAACGGCCGGAGATCCAGCACCGCTGAGGCATACCTAAAACCGGCTAAAGATAGGTACAATTTGAAAATCACCAAGCACGCCAGGGTAACCAGAGTTTTAATTGACGACTTGACCCAAAAGGCTTATGGACTTGAGGTGTACGTATCAGGCGAGAAGATGAACGTGTACGCTGATTTAGAAATCATCATCTCCGCTGGTGCTATCGACACTCCAAAGCTTTTAATGCTATCCGGCATTGGGCCAAGAGGTGCGTTGACGGCGTTAGGTATAAACGTAATTTCTGATTTACCGGTGGGCGAGAATTTGCAAGATCACCACTACACACCTATAGTGTTTAGAGGCAAGCGTGGCTTGGAGAGCGTAGTGCAGAACTTGCTGGTGCCAACCGAGCTGGACAGCTATCCGGTACCGTCCCAGTCGGGTTTCTTCAGCGTGGAGAAGTCGAGCGCCGACTACGTGCAACGGCCACAGTTTCAGATATTCAATATACGTATCGGAGCGACCGCGTCACCTATTATTTTATTTGGCTGTCGCACAATAGCGAACTTCGATGAGACCTTCTCGTACTCCATCAGCAAAGCTAACGTGGACCGGGAAGTAGACGTAACCTCTGTTCTTCTTCTGCATCCACGGTCGAGAGGAGAAGTTCTTCTGAGGAGCAGCGATCCATTCGATGATCCAATCATAAACATGGGCTATTTTAGGGACGATGCGGACGTGGAAACTACTTTAGAGGGCGTGAAATTCATGTTGCGGTATTCGAACACTTCCTACTATAGGAGAGTAGGTGGTGGTGTCGCAAAATTGGACGTTGCAGCTTGCAACCATTTTAAATGGAGCTCGGATGACTATTGGAGGTGCTACATCAGGAATGCAGTCGGCTCTATGTTGCATCCGGTCGGGACTTGCGCCATGGGTCCTAATGGGGTGGTGGACGAAAAACTGCGAGTGTACGGCGTGTCTGGTTTAAGAGTGGCAGACGCCTCCGTAATGCCGACAATTCCAGGTGGAAACACAAACGCTCCAGCTATGATGATCGGTGAGAAGGCAGCCGATTTAATTAAGATCGATCATAACGCTCTATACTCGACGACTAATTTCGTATGAACGACGTTTGCACTGAGAATGGCCTAATTGAATGATAATATAGTGACGGGTACCAGACTGTTTATATTGGAATTATAAGTTTTACTAGCGACCCGCCCCGGCTTCGCACGGGTGCAATGTATTATACATATAAACCTTCCTCTTGAATTACTCTATTTAGTAAAAATAACCGCATCAAGATCCGTTGCGTAGTTTTCAAAATCTAAGCGTACATAAGGACAGACAGACAGCGGGACGAATTTGTTTGATACTATGTAGTTATGCACAGCAAAGAGGCGTTTACATTTCAAGTGACATTTTACCACAGTCACTCACTTGTTTTGCCTTCCCGGAAATCCGCCACTAACACTTAAAGTTCAAATTGACTTTTAAGTATTATTACGAATCTTTTGTACGGGAATGTAGAAAAGTGTTGTTTTTAGACTTTTTCGGGGAATTTTTTGAATTGTTCTCTCCGTAAGAACAATCTTCCTACTTCAAGTAATATTATAAAAAAGAATTAGCGAAATCGGTCCAGCCGTTCATGCGTGATAACGTGACCAAGGGAAATAGGGATTCATTTTTATATATATGTCGGAGATAGGTGGATCACATAGGACAACTCGTTATCAGATCCCTCATTGTAATTTACTTGTTCGATTAAAATCAACAATAACGAAAATAATTATTAAACACACTTCTGCTATTGAATGGAAACGTAGTAAGTTGGATACAGGAAGATGACCGCTCGCACCGCCGTCCCTTTTCTAAGTGGCGTGCCCGAGCACGTCCAGAACACACCCCCGTGTCCGATGTCAATTGACTTCCACAACTCATAACCGTCAAGTCCGCTCTCTCACTTCCTGTATCGACCTTACTGAAGCGCACTTTTATTTATTTTCACAAGAAAAGTATATTTAAGTATGTTTATCAGTTATATAGTATTCATAGTACAAGCTTTGCTTAGTTTGGGACTAGAGAACGTTGTGTAAAAATGTGCCCTAAAAATGTTTTATTTATTCGGTCAGTCTATTGTCTGATTTTTTTAAATTATTAAATTTATTATACGAAGTAGATTGTCATTCTTTGTTAAATACAAATAACTGCAAGTAAAGCACACACTGAATAATGAAGTGTGTCAGTAAATATAATATATACGTAAGGCAAATAAAAAAAAGAAATGTTTATGCGAGAATATGTATTGCTTAAATTTTAGATTTTAAGTTTCTAACAGAGATGTGAAGTCGCTGCAGTGGCGTGCAACAATTTTTTGCGAAAAATGACAAATGTGAAACCTGTTACGTTTTAGAAATTGTGAAATATCGTCACGTATTAAAGAGTCAAGGTTACTCACGCATGTTTATGGATATCTAGATATCTAGGTCATTGCACATGCTTAGAGGTAAACAACTGGCAGCTTAGTGGATCATTGATAAACTTGCCTGTAATGTCAAGGCTTTGCAGATTTCGTAAAACTATTTCGAAATATTATGACGTTTTACTTATACTTCATCGGATAGAAAAATTGAGAAGTGACTATTATATAAGGTTTAATACAATATGTGTGATTTTATCTTAATTAATTTGCCAATATTTTCACACTAGTATGTACTAATTATATGGTACTGTTAGGTTCCCAACTGATCGTCACTCCCAACTTTTTACTATAGCTTTACGTAAGAAGCCTTCATAAGAACGGGATATATTATTGCTACGAAATATATTATTACTGAATACGATATTATTAATGCAGCGTTTGTTTTATTATTTAGATGACTCCGTGTCGCAGTTGCTGAGGTATTTGCTTCGGCGTCCGGGGTCGTGGGTTCGATTCCCACACGGGACTATTCGTGTGACCCACAGATAGTCGTTTCGCATCTGGATGTTTGTCTGCATGAAATATATGTTTGTAAAACGTCATTACAACACAGGATAATATTACCCTAAAGTAATGGTACTGTTTAAAAAAAACACAGTGTTATAAATTACATTGTATAAAGTTATTATAGAGCTATCTCTTAACACATTTTTATCTTCTTTCCCCTGCCCTTATGTCTGTCTGTCAGTCATGTTAATAGTGATATTGGCTACGTTTTTTACGACCCGGTTGCTTGACGTCAACCTTCCATGGGAAGTAAATCTCAGTTCCGGAATAAAGAACGGTTTTTTTGGTATTTAAAAAAAACATGTTTTATTTCAGTATTTACACTTGTAACTTGAGAAGTTTGATCATCTCATGTTTTATGTCTGTGAAAAGTTATCACCGAAGTATAAACAAAACAAAAATAAATTATTACATACTCTAATATCAATTAGAAATATGTAATCATATCATAATTTAGATAAATCTGCTCAACAAAGATGGTAAACTAGATGCACATATTTCATAAAACATTTTTATCTTTACGTTATGTTAGATATTTAAGAGCCACCCAACAGCTTCGGTTGTTGCACGAATGGACACGCCCGTCGTAAGTACCACGACCTCACAGAAGACCAGCATGAAGTACGTTATAAGTACTATACTTTTGCGTTTCGTCTGGTGAGTGAGGTAGCCGTGGTCCACATTATTAAAAGGTAGCAACCCATCTGCAACCCTATGGGCGTTGAAAATATTCGTGGGCGGTGGTTATCACCTAACATCAGGTGAACTGCCAGCTCGCTTGCAACCTTCTCACATAAAAAATCAGTTATCCAAACACCATTATTGTTTCAACTGTTGAATGTCCTGTACTTAGATTTACCAATCAAGTTATTTTTAATCGTCCTTTTTTAGCATTAATAGCTTTAACAACAGCTCCTGCTGTACGACCAAGTCAAAGTAGCCGGCGAAGTACCAGGGCATCAGAAGACCGATGTGAAGAAAAAATATTATTATCAGAAAAATTTGCTCACACAGTTGCTTTTCCTTTCGAATAAAAAGAAAAAACAATCTCACAAGTGTGAATCAATATGGTTCGAACCTTCTTATTCAATTCGAGGTACTGTGTAAAAACTAACATAACTAATCATAGGTCATATTAATTATGCATTGATAGATTTTTCTTAGTATAAGTAGTTTTATAGACAACCGGCTGTATTGGATTTTCCCAATGCGGTAAAAATAACTTCAAGTGTCGTCGAGAGCTTGAATAAATCCATAAGAAGTAAAGATTGTAGAAGTTAAGATATTTAGCTCCGACCTCGCTCATTAGTAGGTATTTCATAGTGGTTTCTGATAGTTACAATTATAGCGTAATCGGTTGGGATATTTAATTATATAATCGATAGACTCAAATTACTCTTTATTTTTTTATTTAAGTCTTCAGCATGAAGTAATAGTAATGCGGAAGCTCATTAAGTTGAAAAGTCTAGCCACACCACAATTTTGACTAAGGAAGTTTAAAAACTCCATTTTAATCACATACACCGACATATACCTGTTCTAAGGTAAAATAATTATTAAGCAAGTGAATCATATTTGATAGAATTTTTTCTTTTTTGGATTCATGTAGATATACTTGAATGTATTAGTGATGGGTATACATACATTTAAAATCCATTTTTCGCGTCACGTCTTGTAAATTTATCCGTTTGGAATAACATTTAAGCGGTGCGGACTGAGGTAGGTTGAGTCGGTTGTAACGTACTAAAATAAAATTTCACCTATAAATAACGGAGTACCATTAAAAATGCATCAATCTCGAAATGTACCTCCGTTTTATTCAAACATTACGAAACACTCGAGTGCGGGAAGTCGAGCAGAGGACCGTTCCCGCTGCAGACTTCATTATCATAACTTCGCGATGAGGCCTTTGTGATGGTAATCAATACAACCCCCGTACCCCCTAATGATAATGAACCCCTTAAATGTCACCATTACAATACTGGTCTTGAATTCATCGACCGACCATTGAAATGAAAATGCGGCGTGCTAACAGTTTTTAAAAGAGCGTACACTGATTTTGTAACGATCTCAAAGATAAGGTCTTGGTCAGAATATGTTTAGTCTAGTTGCTAGAGTTCAAGGTGAGCGAATTATTAACATAAAAATCATATTTTTAGTCGCGTCCGGGTTTAGTCGATAGAGTCGACAAAAACACTGTGCTCAAATATAATTATATGTAGGTATGCTGTTTTTTTTTTAATTTCGAAGGATACAAAAACAAAATCGGTGTGAAAATTGCAACAGCTCGGGGAATCCCAAACGCAGAGAAGCATGTCTTATATTAATGTTAAAACTTTGTTTTTTTTTAAGTTATTTAAATGATCTATTAGACTTTACTTTCTTACGAAAGAAGTTGGTAAACGAGTAAGCGGTTCACCTGACGTTAAGCGATTACCGCCGCCCATGGCCACCTACAACTTCTCTGTGGAGGCGGATGCGTGGCCAACTTTCAAAAAATTGGGCCGCGGTTACCTCAATACCTAAACGCTTTCATTCTACACCGGCCTGCAGTGAGGCCGTGCTGCTTCCCCGCATTAGTGCGGATGGGGTTGCTTAGAAGTTAGAATGCTTTGGTCATGAAAAGGACTGAGGTATTTGACGTTCTGATGTCTTATGAAACATTAAGTTACGTAAGTTCTATTTGAGCCCTTACCGTCCGCAATACAGATACGTTATCGTCTAATAACATAACGTTCATCTCATCTGTACTAGAGATTATTTAATTACGTCGGGGCTATAGAGAAAATTACTTAAGCCCGATTATTACAATAATGGAGCCTCGTCGAGCTCTTGACCCTTAAAATTGAGTGCGACGTCGTTCGAGTTGCCTCGCAGTCGTAAAGTTGCTCGTTTACATGACAAAGTCTCGTTCGGCGCTGTTAGGAAATCATTATCTGCGTCCCAACGGTTACCATAGGTCCCGAAGTCACTCGGATTTGCCTCGAAGTTGCTAAATAGATAAGTCACTTCTTGGTTATTGACAACGGAAACAATAAGAATACGGCGTAAGAAAAATATTGAACGGTGAGGTTTTTATGATTTTACTTTTGAAGTTGTACTTCTTTTGGCGCGTTTGGAAAAAATTATGATT